TGCATGAAGCCCTGGGTTTGATTCCTCAATACCACATAAACAGAAGATGCCAGAAGTGGCCCTGTGGCTCAAGTGGTAGAGTGCTAGCCTTGGGCAAAAAGAAGTCCGGGGACAGTGCTCAGGCCCTGAGTTCAAGCCCAAGGACTAGCAAAAAAAAAAAAAAAAAAGCTCAAGCCAGCCCCTGTACTGGGGTTGGGAGTGGGGTGGGAGGGTGCTTGCCTGTGGCCTATGTATGTAAGTCTAGCTACTTAGGAGGCTGAGATCTTTTTGATTTTGCCAGTCGTGGGGCTTGAACTCTGGGCCTGGGCACTGTCCCTCAGCTCTTCAGCTCAAGGCTAGCGCTCTACCACTTGAGCCACAGCACCACTTCCGGCTTTTTCTTTTTGCTTGTGTGGTGCTGAAGAATCAAACCCAGGGCCTCAGGCATGCAAGGCAAGTGCTCTACCACTGAGCCACCTTCCCAGCTCAAGGAAGTTGATATCTTAAGGATAATGGTTTGAACCCAATCCAGGAAGTAAAGTCCCTAAGACTCTTATCTCCAATTAACCACCAAAAAGACCAAAGTGGTGCTGTGACTCTAGTGGTAAGATTGCTAGCCTTGAGCAAACAAGCTTAGGTACAGTACTCAGGCCCTGAGTTCAAGCCTCAGTACTGGCACCAAAAAGAAAAAAAAAAAGGCAGATGCTAGCTACTCAAGAGGCTGAGATCTGAGGATTGCGGTTCAAAGCCAGCTCAGGTAATCACAGAAAAAAACAGAAGCAGAAGTGTGGCTGAAGTGGTAGACTACTAGTCTTGAGCAAAAGCAGCTCAGGGACAGCACTCAGGCCTGTAATTCAAGGAGAGAGAGGGGTGGGGAGAGGGAGAAGAGAGAGAGGGAGAGGAAGAGGGAGAGAGAGAAAGAGAGAGAGAGGTGGTTGCCAAATGGAGAATAGAAGAGGAGGGCACTGGGGAGAGAGGTGATGAGCAAGAGGGCCTGGAGCCAGTGTGGAGCTTGCGCAGCCGCTGCCTCCTGGCCCCCAGGATGATGCTGATGTGGAATGGAAGTTTGCTCGTTCCAAGCTCTACTTATCGTACTTCCGAGAGGGTCTGACCCTGCCTGTGCCTTTCAACATCCTGCCCTCTCCCAAGGCCTTTTTCTACTTTCTCAGGTGATGACTTCTAAGCTCACTCTCACACTGCCCAGCTCATGTCCCTATTTCCAGGCCTTGTCCCCTGACTGACCTTTTCCTACCATTGAAATCTCTCAGGAAAATTTTCCAGATCATTTGCTGTTGCTGTTCCTGCTGCAAAACTAAGAAGCCAGCCTATCCCCCAGTCCCCACCTTTGTGAGTACCTCGTCTGCTTGCTGTGGGTCTGCCTCACACAAGGCTTCACCTGTATTACCTAGGCTGGTCTGGCTGTGAATAGCAGGTATGGGCACATGTCTTCCCAGGTGTGTTCCCAGAAAACCATTCCCACTTCCATTTTCCCAGTTTCCCTCTTCCCTGAACTTCCGACCTGTCCCGCAGCCTGGACAGAAGTCCATGCAACACTCTTTCCAAAATGCAAATACCCTCCATGCTCCAAACTGGGCCAAAATGTGAATGAATGTTTTTTGTACCAGTCCCAGTGCTTAACTCGGGACCTAGGTGCTACCCCTGAGCTTCTTTTGCTCAAAGCTTGAGTCACAGTACCACTTACAGCTTTTTTTTAGTGTCAGTTATAGGGCTTAAACTCAGGGCCTGGCACTGTCACTGAACTCTTTTGCTCAAGGCTAGTACTCTACTATTTGAGCCACAAAGACACTTCTAGTTTTCTGGTGGTTAATTGGAGATAAGAGTCTCAGACTTGGGCTGGGAAGGTGGCTCAGTGGTAGAGTGCTTGCCTTGCATGCCTGAGGCTCTGGGTTCGATTCCTCAGCACCACATAAGCAAAAAGAAAAAAGCCAGAAGTGGCGCTGTGGCTCAAGTGGTAGAGTGCTAGCCTTGAGCTGAAGAGCTGAGGGACAACGCCCAGGCCCAGAGTTCAGACCCCACGACTGGACCAAAAAAAAAAAAGTCTCAGACTTTCCTGCCTGGGCTAGCTTTGAGCTCCAATCCTCAGCTCTCAATCTCCTGCGTAGCTAGGATTACAGGTCTGAGCCATCAAACTCCAGTGAAAATGAATGTTTTTCTAACACAGATCAACACCACCTTATAAACAAGGCCTCTAGCAGAGGGCCAGACTTGAGCAAAAAATCCAAGAGATAGTGCTCTGGCCCTGAGTGTAAGCTTTAGTACACACACACACACACACACAGTTAAGGCTGGCATTTGAAGGGTTCACTTACCTCCCATTACCTGTCCCCTACCCATCCCAGCTCTACATGAGAGCCCCTTCCTACTTCCCCCCAGCATTACTTCTAGGGCTGCAGGGGGATTCTTCTTTCTCCTTCCCCTCCCAACCTTCACTTCACCCCCAGTCAGCCTTCCTCCACTTTGGGGTCTCCCTTCCTCTACCTTTCAGGACTGTGAGGTGGAGGTAGACCAGGGGCTAGGTGTACAGCTTTTTGGGACAGCAGATCTACTCAGATTTTGCCTTGGTCCTTTATTGCTGAGGCAGGTCAGTAATTACAGGAAGGCTGTGGATAAAGAATCTCTTACTCTCCTGTCTTTCCATTCCAGGCCAACCCTGGGGCAGAGGCAGGGATAGGGGCAGGGCCCGGGAAGGGTGAGCGTGGATCCTACCGTCTACGTGTCATCAAGGCCCTGGTGCAGCGCTACATAGAAACTGCCAGACGTGAGTTCGAGGAGACCCGTCGCAAAGGTTAGTTGTCTACTCCATGCCTTCCCACACCTCGTCACATCTCTCATTCAGCTGTGTTTGTGCATGGCCCCATTCTTCCCTACAGGCCTGCATCCTATGGTCCTTGCCCTGTTACCCTTAGACCCATGTCAGTATTTGTTCCAGTGTTTTTTCTTTTTCTTTTTGTCAGTCATAGGGTTTGGCCTCAGGGACTATGCGCTGTCCTTGAGGTCTTTTATTCAAGGCTAGTGCTCTACCATGTTGAGCCACAGCACCACTTCAGTTTTCTGGTGGCTCACTAGAGATAAGCATCTCCCAGACTTTCCTGCCAGGGCTGGCTTTGAACCTTAGATCTCAGCCTGAGTAGCTAGGGTTACAGATGTGAGCCACCAGTACCCAGCTCTAGTGTTTTCATTCAATCACTCATTCCTGCTTTCATTCACATGGTTATTTTTTTTCTCCCATCCATTCATGCAATCCCTGGTTCACCACTGTGTCTTTCTTGTTCTGGGCCTTGTTTGGAGGGAGGGGGCTCCATAGAAGTTTTCAGAGTGATGAGAAACCATCCTAGTAAGTAGAAAATGCTTAGTTGAGACACAGACTGCAGTGGGAGCCCAAAGGACAGGAAAGAGTCATTTTGTGAGCATCAGGGGAAGGGAACAGTAGAGAAAGGCAGGTAGGATTTGGGCTGGCCTGAGAGGTCTAATGAGGTTAGATGTACACATCTCCCCACTGAAAACTGTCCCTGTGACTCCTCTCTCACCTCCTTTCTGGCCCAGAAGTCTTGCCTTCTTTGTCTCCTAAAGTGATCCCCTCCCACTGCCTCTCAGACTCATCTACTCCAGACTCTGTCTGCCCAGGTCACCTCCTCAGTTCTCCAAGTCCTTCCTCAGGACCCCAGAAAGGGTGTCTCTGGGGTTCTATTGAGTGGGGGGGAAAAGAGATATTGAACAGGCTCCACTTCTGGAAGACTTCCCCTCCATGCTTCTTCTCCCCAGACCTGGGCAACAGACTCACAGAGCTGACGAAGACTGTATCTCGCCTCCAAAGTGAGGTGGCTGGTGTGCAGCGGACGCTGGCGACAGGAGGGACACCCCGGCCTCCGGATGGTGCCAGCGTCCTCAGCCGCTACATCACCCGAGTGCGCAACAGCTTCCAGAACCTGGGCCCCTCACTCCCTGAGACCCTGGAGCTGGCTGTGCCAGGGCTGGTGGGGACACAGAGCCCTTTAGAACCCGGGCTTCAGGCTGCCACAGAGGCTGGGAGTCCAGCTACTGGGGAGTGCTTGCCTGCTTCCCCTGTTCATGCATTGGTGCACAGAGAACAAGAGGCAGAGGGGCTCTGGGGTGTGCCCTCCCCGGGGGATGTGAAGACCGAGGAGGGGTCCTAATGCCATGGAAGGCTCCCTTCTGTCACTAGTCAGCTTGGTTGGGTGGAATGAGGGCCACTCAGTAGAAACTTCTATGGGATCTCTTGTCTTAATAAAGTCTCTTCAAATGCATGTTAGATACCTGCTGCGTGGGTGAGAATTCCTGTCTCTTGTGGTATTAAGGTCCTTCTTCAATTTTCCCCTGAAATGGACGCAGTGTGAGCAGGGCAGAGAGCAGTAGCCTCCTCTGGAACTTTCAGTATTTTGGGCTTAGAATCTCACACTGGATTTCTCAGATTTTTTTTTTTTTGCCAGTCCTGGGACTTGAACTCAGGGCCTGGGCACTTTCCCTGAGCTTCTTTATGCTCAGGCTAGCGCTCTACCACTTAAGCCACAGTGCTACTTCCAGCTTTTTCTGTGTATGTGGTATTGAGGAATTGAACCCAGGGCTTCATGCATGCTAGGCAAGCGCTCTACCACTAAGCCACATTCCCAGCCCGATTTCTCAGACCTTTAGTGAAAAGAGTTTTGACCTGGGGAAGCAGGAGACCTGGGAAGCAGGAGACCTGGCTTTAGTAGTCACTCTGATCTTGAGTAAAGTGCATGCTCCCCTGGCCTTGCAGTCCTCATCAGACAGACAGGGCTGAGGAATCATCTGCCTACTTCCTTGCCTTCACATTCATGGGTATGCAATGAGGAGGTGTGACGGCCATCGTGGAACAAACAAGTCATAAAGTTCCGTGTCCCCACATGACAGCACCATTTAATTGGGTCGCCATCACAGTTCTTCCCTCGCCGAAGTCCTCCCCTTATCATGGGGTTGCCCTGTCAAGGTTTCAGGTCTCCCCACAACCTGGCCGGGGAGGTGGCAGCCAGGGCTGGCTCCAAGACCATGCTCTTGCTTCACGAGGCTGTTCAAAGCTGCCCTTCTTCACAGGAAAATCACAGGTTCCCAAGATCCCTAAGTGGCAGGTGTTGGGACTTTCAGGGCCCAGCTCCTGAGAGCTGGAACCCCCCAGGGGTCAAGAGTAGGGTCTTCCAGGAGTGCAGAGAGAAAGCCCCCTCAAAGGGTGGCTCTGGCTGCCCTGCTGTTAGAGAAAGAAGAAAAGGCGGTGGGATCAGCAGACTGAGGGGTTAGCAGCAGCTGAGAGAGCGCAGCAGCTCAAAGGGAGGGCAGGAAGGGGGCTCACCTCTCGAAGACACACAGCCCCGCCTCTTCTTCCCTGCAACAGAGACCAGGTGAGGTGACTCCCAGACTGCAGAAGTCCTGCCAGGCCAGGCCTCCACAGGGCCTTTCCCCTCTCAGGATGTCCTCCCTTTAGCCAAAGGTAAACTTCTTGTTTCCCTTCTGCCTTCCTCCCTCGGGAAGGCTTTCCAGGAAAGATGGCCCATCCGTCTCCACTGGCCATTCCTCCATTCTATCCTTGCCTCAGCACTTGGGAATAGCATACTCATGTCCTGGCAAGCCTGGGCCTCCTGAGCTAGGAAGTGGAACTCTCCTGTCTCTTGCCTTTGTGTGTGCCTTAGATGTCTAACGCACTGAACCTTAGAACACATACAATCGTCTGAGGTATTCACAGACCTTGAAACACAAAACTTGGCAGAACTTTTGTCCTGTTCACTAAGGGGGTCTCCTAAAGTCTCTAGGGAGCCTTCCAGGGCCAACCTGACTTGTCTCATCCATTCCCACCAGCCCTGTGTAACCCCCATGCATAACTCACCACCCAAATAAGCGCAGTTAAAGTGGCTGCAGGTCTGATTATGGCTCCAGAGAGACACTAGGCTCCGGGTTCCATTCTGGGAGAACCCAGTGACCAAGAAGATTTCATGGGGGGGAATCAGCACCTCACGTTCCTCAGGGAAGACAGACAGGGGCTGGATAAGGGCCCCAAAACAAGTCCTTAGAGAGAAGAAGGTGGCATTACCAAACCTGCGGGCCACCGCCTCATCTAGGGAGCTGGAGGCAAACTGGCCTAAGCGGACAGAATCTCCCAGCCTGCTGGGTTCAAAACGAAGGCTGCCCACGCCTCGGAATACCACCTCCCCAGCTTCCCTGCTGCAGCCTTCCCTGCCCCGCAGCAGCTGCAGGGCCCGGGTCAGGTAGAAATGCAAGGCCTTGAAGGGGAAATGCCTCATGTACAGCTCCCGGGAGCCACCTCCCGTCCGCACAGCCTGGTTCAGCTCCCAGTACAAGGTGTTGGATGAGTTGGTATAGACCATAACGGCTATTCCATGCTGGGCTTTGAAGCCAGCGGGTAGAGTGAGCCCTCGACGCCGGTGTTCCCAGGCCTTCTGTGCTGCCGCCCAGGATTCCTGGAGCAGGGTATGGTGAGCCATCTCCTCCTTTAACAGAGAGGCTGCCTTCTCTTCCATCTCCTCTGAGCAGCCTAAATAGGCATCATCAAAGGCATCTGGGGCCAGGCCCAAGGGCAGGATAGGAACAGCCTGAACCTGTGGACATGAGGAAAAGGAGCCACACAGGGAGGAGTATAAAATCAGAAGGGAGATAAGAAAGAGCAATGGGGGGGGCGGAGGGACTACAAATATATATATATATATAATACATATATGATCATATATTATCAAAATACATTATAGATGTATGGAAATATAATGAAACTAACATATAATTAAAATACACTAATTAAAGTAATATTAACAAAAAGCAAGTTCAAGAAAAGTATAAGTTCAGAGCACTGGACAGGGGTCTCAGAGGCAAATCACTTCAGAAACACAGAATGTCATTTCTATGCCCAAATATCTGCTGTATACAAATGGCAAGGCCCAAACAGGCGTAAATAACACAAGCACTGGAGTCAGACAGACATGGGTTCAAACACCACCTACTAGCTGTGAGATCTTGAGCAAGTCTCAGGTCTGGGCTTTTCTGGGCTTCAGGATCTCCACCTATAAATTGAGGTTACTTCCAACCTCACAGGGTTATTGTGAGGAGCATAAAGATTGCTCTGCACAACCTAAAAGAGGCCATCTTGTCATTAGAGCTGTTCCTGTTCTCAGTGGGAAGTGGGGCTAGATGACGCTAAGCAGTTTTCTTCCTCTAAGATCCAGTATGCAGGTGAGTGATAAACTCAGTCCAATACCCGACCCGGTCCCCATCCTCCTCCTCTTTTCTTTACAGAAATTCCCGCAAGTGCCAAATCATTGTCAGCTCTGAGCTTCCTGAGTCCTCTCCTGCTTTAGAAGCCTTCAGAGCCAACTTGGGAGGGCTGGGAGAGAGGAGATCAAGCTCTAGTGAAGGAGGGTGTGCCAGGACAGCAGAAAACACATTGGGGTTTGCCTGAGTTAAGCCTATGGTGGGAGACGAGAAGTAGGGAGGAGAAAGTCGGAGGAGATTCCTAGAGAGAAATGAAATGAAGGGAGGCTCACATAGGGATCTGCAGGCGCAGGAGGGAAGGATGGGGGAGGATAGGAGCTTGGTTCCTGCAGGGATGGACATTCCTTAGAGGAAGAGGATTGAGAGGAGGGAAGGCTCCCTGGGAATTTTAAGGAGTCATCTACCAGTCCACCTCAAGATCTGTCCCTCAACTGCCCCTTGGTGGCGAGGGATGGTTCTAGGAGTTACCTGCCAGAGGGTATGGAGGCAGAGGTGGTTGAGGATGACCAGCAGAGCCGCGAGCATCCTCCTCCTCGGGGATTCTTGGGCAGGATACAGATAAAGACCCCCAGCGGTGGAGTTCTGGCTTGGATGGGTTCCTGGATCTTTTCGGGCGAGGGATCCCAGGTCCAGGACTTGTCCCAGGTGGGGGCGTGGGCGTGGCCGAGAGGGGGCGGTCCTGGGGTGGGCGTGGCCTTGTCTTTGTACCGCCCCCAGCTCCACCCCTAGATTCCACTCCCCGGAATGCCAAACGCCCCCCCAGTCAACAGCTCCTGCCTGGGGGCGTCTTCCCACCCCGCACCCCGCGATGGTGGAGTGCGATGGCGTTACGGCTCCACCGGGAGCGGGGGTCGGGGCCGGAGGACCCACCTGGCGGCTGCGGTGGCAGAGGGCAGGATGGAGGGCTGGGTGACTGCTGCCGCGGGGGGCTGAGGTCCGGGCGGCGCCGCGCGGTGCCGGGATTGCTGCGCGGCGTCTCCGGGCTAACTATAGCCCCTGGGCGGTAACCCGACACCTGACTTCCCCAACAACCGACCCGGGGGCGCGGGGAGCCGGGGGCCAACTCCCCTCCCCGTGCGCTCTGGCTTCTTCCCAGGACCCTCTTCAGCTCCCAGCAGGGCCAGGGTTGTGGGAGGGACTTGGGAGACTTGGCCTCACCCTTAGGTGGTCCTGACCTGGCCCCCCCAAGACCATCAGGCCAGTCGCCATGCAAGAGGTCTCCCCTGGTGCGCTCGCTAATTTACATACAATTTGCATGTGGCCTCACTCGGGGTCGCGTGCTGCGGCATCTGAGCAGTACCCACTCCCCTCCCTTCTTTTACCCTCCTAATCTTCCCTTTGGAGGGCTCAAATCAGACTCCTAGCTCTGGCTTTGGATTCCAGGATGCAGCTCCACCCCCTACCCCAGACCCCATCTCTCTCTCTGGTCCTCTCCGACTCAGGTGACCCCATGTTTGTAAACATTAGTTTTCCCTCCCACTGCTTCTGATCTTTTCTATAAATAACCTGGCTCTGAGTTTTGGATGTCCACTTAGGGGTAACAGGAGAAGGGGCGGGCTGAGCAATCAACCAGTAGCTAGGAGAAGAGCTTTCCCACAGCCTGAGGCTGGAGGAGGGGATGGCATACCTCCCATTCAGGGGTCCTGAATGGCAGGGCTTAACAGATGCCACCTGCTGCGGCCAGGGTGGACATGAAGTGAGAAATGTCCAAAGGATTCCACCCTGGTTCCTGTAATTAATTCACCACTATCCCTGTTCCTTCACCCCTCAGATGACTAATCAAATGAAGAGTCTTCTTCATCCAGAATCCTGTTTTCTCCCCAAATCCTCCCTGAAGACCAAGGAAGAAGACAAACTGTGCTCAGGTGTGAGGAGAGGTAGAGAGGAAGGTGGAAAGAGTAGCACCCCTCTCCATACACACAACCTAGGGCTTGGTACGAAAAGAGCTTCAAGGTTAAATTCTTTTGCTCCATTCCACTGAGACTAGGCCACCCCAGGGCCTTCCTACATTAGCTAATCAGGAATCGCCTACCTTGCTTACCTGTCCTGCCTGCCTCTCTTCATGGAGTGACCTGAGCAGAGGCAGGGACAGGAGATCCTGCGAAGGGGCCTACTTAACCTGCTGAAACAGCCCCTAGGCCACTTACTGGGATTAATGCTTTGTCTTCTCTCTGCTCTCTGACTTCCCAGGAAATGAAGGCAAATATAGTCATAGAACAGGGGTCCTAAATTGGGCAGAAAGCTCTCCCAGATCACATAGCAAATCAAGACTGGAGCCAGGCTGGGCCATAGATGCCAGTCTCCTTAGTGTGAATCTCTAATACTTCAGGTGAGTCTCAATGTTCAAAGAACCAACAAAATATAAGGGTATAGAAGCTGCTTCTGTTCTGATCAAACCCAGTGAGGGGACAGTTGTCTCACTAAGACTGGGACTCTTCACATCTCAGCAGGCCTGTCCTTTGAATTCAGGGAAGAGCATCAGCCCAAGTCAGATTGCCTGAGCCCTGTGAAGACATCCAGAAATAGATGGGAGAGTGTCATATTTCTGAGCAGCTGTGTGGGGGAGGTACATCAGTGGGGGAACTGGCAGTATAAAGGGGAACCTGTCTTCCTTTCCCTAGTTATAATCATAGAAGACCAGCACCAGCTTCCCCACCCTGGAGAAGGCATAGGTAAGGGGTGTCATGCCCTCATGGACTCTGGGAAGGAACAGAATATTCTGACAAGGAATTCAGGGGATTGATGGGATTTTAGGAGTTGTAAGGAAAAGTTTCAGGACTGCTGAAGCTTTGAGATACCTAGGGAACTCTGTGGACATAAGAAAGTTTGTGATTCAGGAGATGTATGGGCTAACATTCCCAGAACGTTCAGTGAGGTTCTGGGACAAGGGAAACTGACCAGAGAATTGCCCTGAACAGGACAGGAAGAAGGACAGATGAAGGGCAGCATCCTTGGTTGTGACAGGACTGTACTTTCTGGCTTCCCTTACCATCCCTGTCCCTCTGCTCCTCGCTTCATCTCCATCTAACACTAGTCACCAAGGTCAGCTGTCTACCTGCTCTGCAACCGTCTGCCCTACTGTGCCCAGAAGCCTCTCAGACTCGAGGTATATGGCACAAAAGCAATAGAAATAGAGCCAGTGAGTGTGTGGGAGACACAGGCAAGGGCTCAGCTGGAGGACAGAAGGGAGTCAGCACTATAGGCAGGTTTCTGCTCCCTGAGGACAGGGAAAGGTAGGCTTTTCCACTTGCTGGTGTGGGCTAACCAGAGGCCACCAAATTGCCTGAACGCCTTCAGGTGCTCAGTAGCTTGAAGGTGCAGTAGCTTGAAGCTCCTGCAGCTGCTGAGAGAGCTCAGGGAAGAAGCCCAACTCCCAAGGCCAACCAACATGTCTGCATGCAGGGCTGAGAGAAGTTAAGGCAGCAGAGGGGAAGATGGAAATACCAAGTCTTTTCTTCCTGTTTCAGTCACCCACCAGACACATGCGGCCCCACAAGTTACAGGGTTTATTTAGGTTCCCCCTGACTAACAAGGCTCTGAGCCGGCATTCTGGGGACTCACTTGTGCATGGCCATGAGCTGAACCTTGGGGACACAAACTGGGTCACACCTGGTACCTGTTTTCAAGGGACTCGGGACTGGAGGAGAGGCACATCATCAGGACAGAGACAGAGCACAGCACCCTGGGAGCTCAGAGAAGTCAGAAGGCTTCCTGAAGGAGGTAACCCCTGAACCACCGAGCTCTGATGAATGCGTTTCCAGGTTCTGGGTAGACAAATAGATGGGTAACAGAAGAACGAGGCAGGCTGGAACGTTGTTCCATGTTGCAGAAGCTGAACAGGAGGAGAAGAGTGAGCATGGAGGGGAAGCATGAGGCTAAAGAGGTCAGAGGGGACCGCAAAGGCTAGAACAAGGAGTCTGAGCTCTGTCTTAAAGGTACAGAGAGATGATTTGTTTTGCCAATCCTGGGGCTTGAATTCAAGGCCTGGGTACTGTCCCTGAGCTTCTTTGCTCAAGGCTAGCACTCTACTACTTGAGCCACAGCACCACTTCCAGCCTTTTCTGTTTATGTGGTACTGAGAAATCAAACCTAGGGCTTCATGTATGCTAGACAAGCACTCTACCACTAAGCCAACTTCCCAACCCCAGAGGGATGTTTTGTTTTTCTGGTTTTTCTCTACATGTAATCTCAACTCTTCATTCATAATTTTCATCTCTATGTGTTACTTTGTATTTTGAGTATATTTATATTTTCATTCAGTTTTGACACAGAGGAATTTTGGGGGGGGTTGGTAGTGGTCATGAGGCTTGAACTCTGGGCCTGGGCGCTGTCCCTCAGCTCTTCAGCTCAAGGTGAGCACTCTACCACTTGAGCTACAGCGCCACTTCCGGTTTTCTGGTGGTTTATTGGAGATAGGAGTCTCACGGTCTCTCTTGCCAGGCTGGCTTTGAACCGCGATCCTCAGATCTCAGCCTCCTGAGTAGCTAGGATTACAGGCGTGAGCCACCGGCGCCCGGCACACAGAGGATTTTTAAGCAGGTTAACTGTGATGATCACAGCTGTACTGTTTTTGGGAGACTAGTTGATAAGCAGGGTTAGAGGAGGCAAGGAGATCCAGGAAGAGGTAGAGATCAACCTGAGTGAGGTCAGAGGTGAGGAGCTGGGCAAAAGGAAGGAGAAGCAGAAAGATCCATATGGGACTTAGCATTACTTGTTAACTCTAGAGATGTTTTATGAATAACTGAGTGTCTAGATACCCAAGTGAGCATCTTGGGTAGCTGGGTACATAGTCTTCCAGAGGCAAAAACCATCCTGAGCTAGATTAAGCCTAAAGAGGAGTTTATCACAAGGATAACAGAGTATCTCATAGAACCTACAGGCCAGAGGTGAAGCGCTTCTAGAAGCACATGGAATCTGGTTATACCTGGCTTCAGTTCACCCTTCCAGCTGATCTTTGATTTTTGGCTTTTTCTTCTCTCCAAAAATCAAAGATCAGCTGGAAGGGTGAACTGAAGCCAGGTATAACAGACCTTCCTGCCTGGGCTGGCTTCAAACTTTGACCCTTAGATCTCGGCCTCCTGTGTATCTAGGATTATAGGTGTGAACCACCAGTCCCCATCTCAAGGGTTGGTTATTATTATTACTTGCATTTTTTGTAGTAAAATAAACAGAAAAAAAGAATAAGGTAATAACAGCAACACTGGCTTAGAAACTGTTCCAATCCTGACACCAAGTTGTTATACCTCTTCTTTTTTTTTTTTTTGTCCGTCGTGGATCTTGAACTCTGGGCCTGGGCACTGTCCCTCAGCTCTTTAGCTCAAGGCTAGCGCTCTACCACTTGAGCTACAGTGCCACTTCTGGTTTTCTGGTGGTTTATTGGAGATAAGAGTCTCACAGTTTAATAAAATTTTACTTTATTAAACCAGCCAGGTACTGCTGGCTTATGTCTGGACTCCTGGCTACTCAGAAGGCTGAGATCTGAAGATGGCAGTTCAAAGCCAGCCTGGGCTTATCTCCATTAATCACAAAAAGCTAGAAGTGAAGATGTGGCTCAAGTAGCACAGTGCCAGCCTTGAGCAAAAAAAGCCAAAGAGAGAGTTTGAGGCAATGAGTTCTGAAGCCCCAGAACTGGCACATGAATGGCCCAAGACCCTAAGGAAAAGAGACTAGGACACAGAGCAAGGGGAGGGGGAGGGGGAGGGGGATGATGGAGATAAGGTGACAGAAAGTAAAGACAGACAAAAGTGAATTCTCAGAAGGTATGCAGTTTGACATTTGACGCTAGTTGCTAGCTGGAGACACAAATTTTGCAAGGCTAACTACACACATCATGCCTCTGTTGTCTACTAGGTTGCTCACTTGCTCAGTGGCCACCAATCAAGTTAACCACAATTGTCTAGCTTCTGCTCTGCAAAAGTGGGTTACTTGCATGTTGTGGTTTTTGCCTATATAACCTGAGTTGGTTTTCAGCTGGGATGCTGCTCTTTGTCCCCCAAAAGACAGAGAGTGGTTCCCACATGGAACAAATAAAATATCCTCGCTTGATTATGTGTCTGAATCTCATTCTGGTATTCGGGAATTTTTTTCTGGAAAAAACAGCACACACCAAAAAATATGTGTTAAACTGTTGAGATTAGCATCGCCATTTTCCAGTTGAGGCAAAGGAGACAGCAGCTTACCCAGGTTCACCTTCAGCATGCAGATTCCTGCCATGATGTCTCTGCTTCTTGTGTCTGTGGGCCTCGTGGATGCACTTCAGGTATGGCCATCCTCTACTGCCCCTGCCCCAGCAGGGATCTGAGCTGTCCTTCTTAAGCCTGGAAGGAGGAACAGAGGGAATGCCTGATACTTCCTTTCAGGAAGGAGGAGGAGGTTTGCCTCATCAGGTGACATCCCAGGCACTGGTCTTGGGAAGCTTGCGGCCGGCCAGTATTTCCCAGTCCCTTTCCTTTCCCCACCTTCTCCTCCTGTTTGGGGCCCTCCCTGCCTTTCTCAGTAGTACAAGCTCCACCTGGGTGGAGAGAGCTCTAGATGATAGGATTCTCCATATCCCCCCTGGGGCTGTTTCTCAGTTGGTTTTGCTCTTTCCTCCTCAGGTCCAGGGTCACCCCATGGTACAACGAAGCGTCTTCTCCCTAGAGACACCTCTGGACATGGCTCTGACCTCCTTTGATGACCAGTATGCTGGCTGTGCAGCAGCCATGACAGCTGCCCTCCCAGATCTCAACCACACAGAGTTCCAGACCAACAAAGTGTATGCAGAAGGCTGGGCACTGGCGAGCAGCAAATGGCAGGAGCGCCGGGGGTGGGGAGCTTTGTGGGGCTTGAGGCCCACTCGCTTGCCCCCGTCCCCCCCTGGCTTCCGGGATGAGCATGGGGTGGCCCTTCTGGCCTACACAGCCAACAGTCCCCTGCACAAGGAGTTCAACAAAGCTGTGCGCGAGGCAGGCCACTCCCGGGCCCACTACCTCCAGCACTTCTCCTTCAAGACCCTGCATTTTCTGCTCACAGAGGCCTTGCAACTGCTGGCCAGGGCTGGGCATCAGCCCCAGTGCCACCAGGTGTACCGAGGGATGCATGGCTTGCGCTTCCGGCCAGTAGGGCAGGGAGCCATTGTGAGACTGGGGGGCTTTGCTTCTGCATCCCAGCAGAAAGTTGCGGCCCAGAATTTTGGACAGGACACCTTCTTTGGCATCTGGACCTGCCTGGGGGTTCCCATCAGGGGCTACTCCTTCTTCCCTGGAGAGGAGGAGGTGCTGATCCCCCCCTTTGAGACCTTCCAGGTGGTTAACGCCAGCCGACCGACCTGGGGCCCTGCTCGCATTTATCTCCGGGCTGTTGACAAGTTTAGTACATACAACTGTGAGTACATCAAAGGTGAGGCTGGTATGCGGGGCGGTACTGCGGAGAAGGTGAGCTTTAGCAGATACAAGCCTTCATTTTCCAGCCAGAGGATTCATACATAAGTATTAGATGCAGACCACCAGCCAGGCGCTGGTTAGTGGCTCATGCCTGTAATCCTAGCTGCTTGGGAGGATGAGGATTGAGGTTCAAAGTCAACCCCAAGCAGGAAAATCCATGAGACTCTTATTCTAGTTAGCCACCAGAAAACTGGAGTTGTGGCTCAAAGTGGTATAGTGCTAGCCTTGAGCAAAAGAGCCAAGGACAGTGCCAGGCCCTGAGTTCAAGCCCATGACAGACAGACAGACAGACAGACAGACAGACAGACAGACAGACACACACACACACAAAGTAGACTGCCAGAGAGATGCACTAGTCATATGTTTTTGTTTTGGTCACCAGTTTTCTGGTGATTTATTGGAGATAAGAATTTCACAGGCTGGGCTGGGAAGGTGGCTCAGTGGTAGAGCACTTGCCTTGCATACTCGAGGCCCTGGGTTCGATTCCTCAGCACCACATCAGGAAAAAGCCAGAAGTGGCACTGTGGCTCAAGTGGTAGAGTGCTAGCCTTGAGCTGAAGAGCTGAGGGACAGCGGCCAGGCCCAGAGTTCAGGCCCCACGACCGGACCCCCAGAAAAAAAAAAAGAATCTCACAGGTGAGCTGGCCGCCGGTGGCTCACGCCTGTAATCCTAGCTACTCAGGAGGCTGAGATCTGAGGATCTTGGTTCAAAGCCAGCCTGGGTAGGAAAGTCCGTGAAAGTCTTATCTCCAATAAACACTCAGAAAACCAGAAGTGGTGCGCTGTAGCTCAAGTGATAGAGTGCTAGCCTTGAGCTGAAGAGCTGAGGGACAGTGCTCAGGCCCAGAGTTCAAGCCTCACAACCAACAACAACAACAAAAAAGAATCTCACGGGTGGGTGCCAGTGACTCCTTCCTGTAGTCCTAACTACTCAGGAGGCTGAGATCTGAGGATCACGGTTCAAAGATCGCCTGGGTAGGAAAGTCTGTGAGACTCTTATCTCCAATTATCCACTAGAAAACCTGAAGTGGCACTGTGGCTCAAGTGGTAGAGCATTATCCTTGAGCCGAAGAGCTGAGGGACAGTGCTCAGGCCCAGAGTTCAAGACCCACAACCGAACAACAACAACAAAAAAATCTCACTGACTTTTGTGCCTGAGCTGGCTTTGAACTGCAATCCTCAGACCTCAGGCTCCTGAGTAGCTAAGATTACAGGCATGAGCCACCATGAGCTAAGTCATATGACTTCTAAAGTGGAAAGGTGCTTTGTCCCTCTTGTTGAGAGGCTAAGAAGCTGGCAAGGGCTCGTCTTCCTCTACCAAGGGATTGTGGAGCAACTGGAGCTGGGAAAGCATACCTGTTCAGGTTCTTCTCTTGGTGGGAAGCTAGAAGGGAATTTATTCCTAGCCACAGTATTGACACTCAGGCTGCTGTTTCCAGAAATGAGTTAGAGCTCCAAACTGAGTTTCTGGGAGGAGGATACTTATGAGACAGTGGGAATTATTTCTTGTCCTGCATGCTAGGAAGGGGGTGGGAGCGAGACAGGTGTTATGGCTCTAATCAGTCCAGGCTAGAGTCTGACAGGTGTCAGCTTCTCCATGTACCAGGCTGGCCAGAGAAGGAGCCGTGAGGAAGGGCCCATTCTCAGTCTGTGAAGGGTCCAGGCTGCTGTTTCCAGCGGAGTGAGACCTAATTTTCATGGTAAAAGGCAGAGAATTGGTCTAAACTGAGACCATGGGTAAAATGAGAGGTGATCCATGTGGCTTCACATCCCACCTTAAATTGATACCACGATTGGGCAAGAGCTGATCATAAGGAAGATGGACCAATAACATAAACCCAGCCCCTTTCTGCCTGGAACAAGGCATGGGACAGGAGAGGTGTGTAGGCAGAGAAGAAGTTACAGACCAGGGAATAGGAATGGCCTGGAAGGGACCTTGGCCTGGATGGCTGCTTCCCCTCTGGCCCCACTGCTCACAGTCAAGTCAAATGTAGCCTAGGGAATCTGACACTAAAGGAGAATCAGGGAGAGCACTGAGTTTCCCTGCCCTGCAAGCTTCTGAAGCTGTGATACTTTCCTGTTTCTTTCCTACAGACAAGAAGTGCAGGTCTGGGCGTTGCCAGCTGGATAGCTCAGGTAAGGACTGCAGGCACTGTTGGCCACAGTGCAGGGATGCGCAAGCCCTTGCCTAAATTATAAGGAAAACGACATCTTTATCAGAAAAGTCGACCCTCTTAATTAGACTGCTGCAGGAGCCTCCATCTTCTCCTGGGTATCTGGGGCAGTAAATCCACTTGTTCTCCAGCAACGCCCCTTCACGCCCCCCCCCCCCACTCCCATCACAGTAGACAGCCATTGCCAGATCCAGAGTCCCAGGCTGCTCCCTGCTGACCTCCCACTGTCTGCTATTGTCCTCAGGTGCTCTAGGCCAGGCTCTATCCTAACTTTCTCCATGACTAATCCATTCCTCCTCTAGGTCCCAGTTTCACTATTTGGAATAAGCAAACAGAACCAGATAACTCCAGTTCCCTTTCAGCTGTGACTCCTCTCTCTTTGCACATCTGCTGTGCCAGGCCTTTTCTAGGCAGGAATGGCTATTTCCAGTGAAGAAACAGCAGCTTTCCCATTCCAAGCAGTGGGGTTCCCCTCTCTCCTTCCCTCCCTTCCTCTCCTACTCAGGACTCTGTGAACAGTGGGAAAGAAGCATCCCCAGCCTCTTTGTTTCTTCATCCTTCTTTCAAAATAATACTCAAGACTTCCAGAGACATCATGCTGTGAAATCTTCCTCATACTCCAAGAGTGTTCTAGAGAGGACAGGATCCAAAGAGAATCAACAGCCCCTGGCCCACAGCTAGTAAGGTGTGAAATCCAGCCAGCTGGGCTCTGCAGTCACATTCGGAACCACTCTACCAGGACAGCTCCCACCCTCCTCAGACATCATTTCAACGTTACGAACAATAGTCTATTGCAAAGAGGCAGAATGCAAATATTACCCTCTTATAGTGAAGTGAAACCAGAGACAGGAATGGCTTGCCCACGGTGACACAGTCAGTTAGTGGCAGATCAGAAGTCAGGTCTCCAGGCTCCAACCCAAGCCTTATATTTTTAACGTGGTATGTGGGAGTGAAACCCAGTGATGAGTGCAAGCTGGCCACGTGCTCTACCTCTGAGCTACACCTTCAGCCATCTTTTACTTTGAGACAGGGGCTTGCTAAGTTGCTCTGCTTAGTCTTTAATTTATGAACATCCTGTCTCAGGCTCCTGAGTGGTTAGGATTACAGGCATGTGCCACCATGCCATCTTTTTACAAATTTTTGTTTTCTGAGACGGTTTTTTTTTTTTTCAGGTAGCCAAAGCTAGTCTGGAAATTGCAAGCCTGCCTGAGCCTTCTTTGTGCTGGCATCATAGACTTGCATCAGCATGGCTGGCTTAGGCCTCTTTGAATTTGGGTTATGTATAATTTCAGGTTTAGGATTTCCCCTTCACACTCCACCCAGTACATCGTCTTCCAGGAAGTGGGAAGAAGAGCCAAATTCCCCTTCTAAATCCCCTTCCTATCTGCCCATATCCCACCCCATCCTACATCTCTTTTGGTTGGTCTACAGAGGCAGGGCGCTGTATCTGATAACCTTTCAAGAACTGGGGCTCTACTTGGTCTCAACTCTGTCTACTTTCCTTCCTGAGTTCTTGCTCTTTCTCCTATCTCATGTCCTATTTTGTGTATAAGTCCTTTTTCAGCTTGTATCTTCATGTCTTCACTATGCTCCTAAATCTCTCTTTTCTGGGCTGGGAATGTGGCTTAGTGGTAGAGTGCTTGCCTAGCATGCATGAAGCCTTGGGCTCAATTCCTCAGTACCACAGAAGCAGAAAAAGTCAGAAGTAGTGCTGTGGCTCAAGTGGTAGAGCGCTCACCTTGAGCACAGAGAGGTTCAAGGACAGAGCCCAGGCCCTGAGTTCAAGCCCCTGGGCTGGCAAAAAGAAATTTAAAAAAAATCTCTTTTGCTCAGCACCAGTGGCTTACTACTGTAATCCTTGCTACTCAGGAGGATGAGGTTAGAGGATCACGGTTCAAAGCCAGCCAGGGCAGGAAAGTCCATGAGACTCTTATCTCCAATAAATCACTAGAAAACCAGAAATGGCGCTGTGGCTCAAGTGGTAGAGTGCTCACCTTGAGCTGAAGAGCTGAGGGACAGCGCTCAGGCCCAGAGTTCAGGCCCCGTGACTGACAAAAAAACCAAATCTCTTTCTTCTCCTGTCTCTGTTTTTCCTGCAGCGATGGGCCAGGGCCCCCTCTCTACCATCTGGTCCTTCCTGCTGCTGTTCTTGTTCCTTATGCTGGACCTTCCAGAAGGTCAAGGCCTCCTCTGACCCACAGACACTGAACTTCCCACCTTCACCTCTGCCTACTGGAAGATGTCAGCCAGCTGTGTGCTTAAGTGGAGCCAAGATCTCTGGCAGACCCATCTTGGACCTTCTCTGGCAGCTGCCAGACCTGCCAGTAGAGAAACAGGAGGGAATGTGGGGACTAGACCTTATCCTGGTTCCTAAGACTGAGACTTTGGCTAGGGGTTGGAAGGTTCCCAGGAGAGGCAGTGACTCATGTGGAGACAGACAACTGCAACACGAGGGGTTGGGGAGAGCACTGTACGGAGAGCACTAGGCCACGGGACTTGCTGATGTCATTCAAATGCCTCCTCTATCCATCTGGAGAGCTCTCATTTATTCCTCCAGGAAGGCTTTTCTGACCCCTGTCATCTAGTTGGGTTAGGGGCCTAGACTCTGCTCCCATGGGTTACTCAGGGAGTTCCTATGTCAGATTGTAAGCTTCCTCAGGGCAGAGATGGGGGAACTGTATGAAAGGAAGAAACCAATATGAATGGCTGGTCACTGCATTGCCCTATCTTGGACACTGTTGAGCTCTCCAATTATCATTGTGCGTGGATGCGATAGACTGTGTCATCTCTGAGGAAGGACAGCTGGAGAAATGGTAGAGAGAGCTTTAGGGCCTCTCCCAAGGCCAGTTGCTAACACCTGGTCATTTTCTTGGCAGCAAAGATATCATTTCTAGGGCTGGGGGGTGGGGCATACCACAAGTGGTATCAAGTCTGAGGCCTTGTGTTCAAACCCTAGTCCTGTGAAAAAAAAGAAAAGATTATTTCTGTTCTGATCCATGAGTTCCTGCCTCTGGAGACAGATCTGGATCCACAAACTTCCACCATCATGGATCTTGAGAAGAAGACAAGACATTGAAGCACACATTTAGTTTATTATAAGCTGAGGCTTTGAGATGAAATGTCCTCATGGCCTCTGGATCTAGAAATCAGACCATGAATTTCCCTTCCTAAGTGTCTTGACAGAAAGAACCATTGCAGAGTCTCTAATAGCTACAGCCTAGGGAGACAGGAAATACAGCAGCTCTGTCTCTCATAATAATCAGCACTCTCTCTACTAAGAGCTCTAAGTCCACTCATGAACAATGATTCTCATCCCTCCAAGTCTACACTTAGAGCTTTTTTTTTGTTGGTAGTGGGGCTTGAACTCTGGGCCTGGGCACTGTCCCTTAGCTCTTCAGCTCAAGGCGAGCCCTCTACCATGTGAGCCCCAGTGCCACTTCCAGTTTTCTGGTGGTTTATTGGAGATAAGAGTCTCATGGACTTTTCTGCTCTGGTAGGCTTTGAACCATGATCCTCAGATCTCAGCCTCTTTAGTAGCTAGGATTACAGGCATGAGCCATCAGCGCCTGGCTACACTTTAGGAATTAGTGGGTGGCAGGCTCTGGATTTCCCTTAGTTAGAATTTGTAGACAACAAGAGTTCTCATGGGTTGTGAAGTTAGTATGCTGGGCCAGGGTGTTCCAGATTCTTAACAGCAGTAGAGAAGGATTAGTCTATCTGAGGACCAACAACTAACTTGGCCTTTGCCATCCCTGCCTGGAGGTGCTCCAGCCTTTCACAGGGCCTGTACCAGCACCAGGAGGCTCATGACCAGGGCCATGGAGAAGAAGATGCCCAGGAAGAAACGGTCCATCACACGAGCCAGGCGCTTCCAGTCCTCATGGCGGCGCTGGGCAGCCCTATGGCTTCGGAAGGTGCTGGCAATGGTGGCTACATGATGCAGGAGGGCTTCTTGGTGGCAAAGACACCGAGGCTCGTGGCAAGGGCCTGTTGGGGGGACAGTAGGAAGCAGGGGGCTAGGAGATGACTTGGCTGGCTGGGAATGCCCACAGGGTTCTCCTCGTTCTCGAACACACAGGCCTTTTGCTAGGTGTCCCAGCAGGAGGGCCCGAGCCCAGGCTGGCACCGGGCGAGCGTTGGGACCACAGTAATGCAGGTTCATGATAAGGATGGTTAGCGCTGTGGAGAATGTGACCATGGTCATAGTGGCCATATAGTACTTTCCTGCAAGACAGACAGAGTGCCAGTTGGGGCCCAAAGCAATGACTTGAGGATCCTCAGCTTCCTAGATACCTCCCCACAACTACGAAGAAGCTCACCATGAGGCTCTCAGGCCCTTCAAGTCCAATGGGCAGAAAAAGGAAGGAGCTAAGAGCCAAGTTCTTCTCATTTCTCATCACTACTAGTGCTCTCAGAATCCACCTATTCTCAAATTGTTGCCACTACTGGAGACTCAAATTGTATGGGTTTAACTGGGTAAGATACTGATCTGGGGCTGGGAGTGTGGCTTAAGTGATAGAGCATCTGCCAACAAGCATGAGATCCTAAGTTCAAAGCTCAATAGAAATAAGGAAATAACAACAACAAAAAAAGCCAGGTGTCAGTGGCTCATGCCTATAATCCTAGCTGCTCAGGAGGCTGAGATCTGAGGATCAGTTTGAAGCCAGGCAAGGCAGAAAAGTCCCTGAGAGTCTTATTTCCAAATAAGAGGTTAGAGGTTGTGGTTTAGGTGGTAGGGTGACTGCCAATGAGTGAAAGTATCAGAGTCCCAGTGTCTCTGTCTCTCTGCCTCTCCCCCCCGCCCCCACTGTTTCTCACACACACACACTCCAAAAAAGCCAGAAGTAATGTTATAGCTCAAGTGCTAGAACGCTAGCCTTGAGCAAAAAAGCTCAGGGACACTGCTCAGGCCCTGAGTTCAAGACCCATGACTAGCATTAAAAACAAAACCCAATTAACAACAAAACAGTATTCTCTATACATCTAGAATAACCAGAGAACCTGCATCATAGGTTTGTGGAGCTTACCTGAGCTAATAAACATCAAATAGGAGAATGCTTAGCATGCAAAGGGCACACAATCATTCGACTACTGTTATATCCAAGACACACAGATCTTCCTATCTCTCTCTACCTCACTGCCAAACCCCTGACAATTCTGGGATTTGAACGCTTGGCCTCACACTTGCCAGGTAGATCTTCTATGCCATCCCTTTTTATACTTTTTTGTTGTTGTTGTTGTTGTTGGTTATGGGGCTTGAACTCAGGGCCTGACTGTTGTCCTGAGCTTTTCTGCTCAAGACTAGTTCTCTCCCACTTTGAGCCACAGCGCCCCTTCTGGTTTTCTGGTGGTTAATTAGAGATAAGAGTCTCACTGACTTTCCAATCCAGGCTGGCTTTGAACCAAAGTTCTCAAATCTCAGCCTCTTGAGTAGCTAGGATTACAAGCGTGAGCCATGGTGCCTGTTTTGGTTTTTGTTTTGATTTTTAGATAAAATCTTGCTTCCAGACGTGGCGCTGTGTCTCAAGTGGTAGAACGCTGGCCTTGAACTGAAGAGCTGAGGGGCAGCGTCCAGGCCCAGAGTTCAGGCCCCATGACCGACATAAACAAAACAAAACAAACAAACAAGATCTTGCTTCCTGGGCGTGCTGGTAGTGTAAGGCAATCCTCTTGGCCGGACATACTTCTGACCACTAATAGGCAGCTTAAGAAGCCCGTGCCACAGCCCCTAGCGTCTTGAGATGGGGATCTCAGGGCCTCTTCGGCCCAGGCTGGCCTAGAACCAATCTCACTCTCCCAAGTAGCTAGAGTTGACCTTTCCCTTCAAGGAAAGAGGGACTCTCGGCGCCGGCCCCCAGCCTTCCCCCCAGCGGCCTCACCGATGAGCGGCATGCTCTCGGCCGGCGGCATGCTCTCGGCCAGGATCAGCTGGAAGACGGTGAGCGCCAGCAGCACGGTGACGCCCAGCGACACCTTCTCGCCGGAGTCGGCGGGCAGGTGGAAGGCGAGCGGCGCGAGCAGCGAGATGAGCACGCAGGGCAGCAGCAGGTTGCACACGTAGGCGGCGGCGCGGCGGCGCAGCAGCAGCGTGAAGGTGACGTCGGGGTAGGGCTCGGAGCAGCAGCCGTACGTGAGCACGCGCCGGCGCGCCGGCATGCCC